GCTATCCCAAGGGCTGCGGGGCCGCTAGCTTCGCCACTTGAGTGTTTTTCCCTGCTACAACCCTCAATGCCACGGCACAGGTAAGTACCGGCCCTACGGGCCTGCCAAACAAACAAGTACCCTTGCGGGTCACACACACACTCATACCGACAAGCACTCAGACAGGCACGCAGGTCACAAGCACGCACACACAGACAGACTTAGAAAACACAGCAGAATGCGGGAATCTCAGCAATGCATCCATTCCATCAGCAGAACTTCAGAAATCAGCAGTGTTCTCAGTCTGTGTTATGRCGGGYCATTACACYACCCCCCCCTCAAGAGCGAGGTCCCTTCGAGCGAGTAACTMAATMAGAGTCCTTGCATAATGCATCATAGGCGTAGATAGCAAAGAGAGATCGGGTGTGTTTCGTAGGAGTCAGGGTAGCAGTGAATTTTGGTTGCTGTTCAGAACTGATCAATYGTTCATAGGCGTTAACGACGCGAGGTGCACTCTGCAGTAGGTCTTTCTTAGCAATCCAGTAGAAGTCATTCAGTGGGTGGTACAAAAAATGCACTTTATACTGTCTGTTTCTCCCTTTTCCACTGTGCTCGACGATTCTATCAACCTCGTGACCGCCATTGATTGCGCGGGGAATCATCGATTCTCGGTACTTGAACGTCTCAGGTGGCTCATACGGAAATAACTTTGATGCGTGAAAGACTGGGTATGTGCGCAGATGAGCAGGCACATCAATCGTGTAAGAAGGACCGAAGGAATCATTACCTACTCGATTGAGCACCTGCCAGGGACCGTAGTACTGAGGAAGAAGTTTCCGTGATACGCCTTCTTCTTCAGAAAACTCAAACATCTTGACCCAGACATAACTTCCCACGGTGAAGGGGTCAGGCTGGTGCTTTTTGTTTGCATGCTTAATCATAGCACTGCGTCGCCTCTCCATAGCTGCGACAGTGACTTTAAGCAAACGATCGTACTTAGCACTGTAGCCTGGCTGACCAGGTGTTAGGCCAGGTGGCTGTTTCGGGAACAGATAGGATAGAGGATTGCGGATTTTCCATCCGAGGTGCAGCCGGTTAGGCGTCATCCCGGTGGAGGAGTGGATGGAGTTGTTGTACAATCCCTACACAATCGGCAACTTCTCATCCCAAGAGTTCTGGTCAGGCATGATAAGAGTCTTGAGAAGTTGGATTACGATCTGGTTGATTTCCTCAGCCAGTCCATTGACCTGGGGGTGTCGACCAGGCGTCATCTCGAGTTTCATGTCGTAGGTCTGGGAGGTGAAGTCTTTCCAATCTGCACTTATGAACCTGGTATCCCGATCACTCACAAAAGTCTTCGGGGGACCATTTTGCAGAATGTACCTCTTGTTAAATTCTTCGATCACAAGGTCAGTTGGGGCGTGAGGTGGCAATGGGATTAAATTCAGAAATTTGGAAAAACGATCGACGATCACCATTACTTGTGAATAACTATTTCTGCTCTTTTTTCCCATGTCCGTGAAGTCAATGGAAATCGACTCACCTGGACCATCAAGAATAGGAAGAGGGTGCAGCGGCCCATAGGGCTTTTGTCGAGACGGTTTGATGCGTTGACAAACTTCACACTCAGCCACAGACCTTTGTGCCATTTTTTTCATTCCAGGCCACAAACTTTTCCAACAGATTTCCGTATGTCTTCTCAACACCGAAGTGTCCACTCCGACCATGAGCCAAATCCAAGAAGTGGGTTATGATCGCCTCATGGCTGGGCACACACAATCGGTCATGCTTCCCGTAGCGTCGGAAGAGAAGACCCTTACATTCATGGAAATCAGGCTGACTGCTAGGGTCAGCCCGAATCTGCTCAAGGATGGGACTGAGTTCGGGATCCTTGGCAGTATGCTCAATAAGTTCCTCCTTCAAATTTTTACGGAGATCGTAGGAACCCACAAGGCAAGTCATGTACTCAGGGTGGCGAGACAAAGCATCCGCAGCCTTTCTTGTGCGTAATCTCAAAATCATACACATCAATCTCATGCAGCCAGCGGGTCAATGTGGTTGATGGATTAACTCGTGTCTGAATCCATTTCAAAGTCTCGTGATCTGAGAACACTTTGAAATGGCGACCCAAGAGGTAGTGTTTCCAATGATCTAGCGCCTCTCTCAAGGCATAGAGCTCTCGCATGTAAGTGGAAGCAGCTACCTTGTGACTGGGCATGCGTTTGCTGTAGTATTCAAGTGGACGTAGGCCATCACCATCGTCTTGCTGCAGCACTGTACCAATCCCATACAAACTTGCATCCGTAGTTACTACGAACGTAAGCTTGTGATTCGCAATGCGGAGCATCGGATGACTCACCAAAGCCTCTTTCAATGCTTCGAAGGTTGTCATGCATTCCTCTCTCCATTCCATGAGAAAAGGTTAACCGACCCCCCATTTTTCACCTCAATTTATAAGAAAACCATAAGGCCATCCCAAGCAAACTTCACACCAATCTATAGAGTGCACTTCTTACTAACATATTATATGTCTTAAGAGAGGCGCTAGATCATTGGAAACACTACCTCTTGGGTCGCCATTTCAAAGTGTTCTCAAATCACGAGACTTTGAAATGGATTCAGACACAAGTTAATCCATCAACCACATTGACCCGCTTGCTGCATGAGATTGATGTGTATGATTTTGAGATTAAGCACAAGAAAGACTGTTATACGCGAGTTGCGGATGCTTTGTCTCGCCACCCTAAGTACATGACTTGCCTTGTGGGTTCCTACGATCTCCGTAAAAATTTGAAGGAGGAACTTATTGAGCATACTGCCAAGGATCCGGAACTCAGTCCCATCCTTGAGCAGATTCGGGCTGACCCTAGCAGTCAGCCTGATTTCCATGAATGTAAGGGCCTTCTCTTCCGACGCTACGGGAAGCATGGGTCCCCGTTAACCACTTGTGGAGAAAAGGTTAACCGACCCCCAATTTTTCACCTCAATTTATATGAAAACCATAAGGTCATCCCAAACAAACTTCACATCAATCTATAGAGTGCACTTTTTACTAACATATTATAAAAAAAACACCACTTGTGCATTCCATGTGTAGGACACATTCTTGCTTGTTAGTCTAGACAGCGGACGGGCGATGATAGAGAATTTGGGCACAAACTTACGGTAGTACGACGCAAGACCAAGAAAAGAACGCAACTCGCGGACATTTGCAGGTTGGGGCCATTTTCGGATGACCTCAACTTTGGTTGCCTCGGGCTCTAGGCCTGCAGCAGACAACCGATGTCCAAGCTCTAGGCTTGCAGCAGACAACCAATGTCCAAGGTAGATGACGCTGTCCCTCCCAAACTCAGATTTCTCCAAGTTGAGATGGAGCTGCGCGTCCTTGAGGATCCGCATCACTTCCTCAAGGTGTCTCATGTGTTCCTCTATCGATTTGCTGAAGATTAGTATATCATCCAGATATACAACAACAAATCGGTTGATCTGATTGCGAAATACCTTATCCATGAGACTTTGAAAGGTGGCTGGCGCATTCGTAAGACCGAAGGGCATGACTGTAAACTCGTACAACCCATCGCGAGTTTTGAATGCGGTTTTATGCTGGTCTGCAGGATCGACTTCAATCTGGTGGTAGCCAGACTTGAGATCGATCTTGCTGAAGACTTTGCATTCACCTGCAGCATCAAGCAAATCATCGATACGTAGCAAAGGATATGCATTCTTTCTTCTAATTCGATTCAATCCGCGGTAGTCAATACACATCCGTAGTTTGCCTCCTTTCTTAGGGAGAAATAGAACTGGTGCACCAAACTCAGACTCACTTGGTTTGATCCATCCCTTCCCAATCATCTCATCAATCTGCCTTCGCAACTCCTCCAATTCGCCTGAGCCCATCCGATAGACACAACCCTTTGGAGGAGTGCTACCTTCAATCAACTCGATCCTGTGTCGGACCGGACACACGGGGACTCCATGCGGTTCGGCCAAGACTTCTGGAAATCAGTTGAGAAGGTTGCGAATTTTTTATGGGATCTCCGGAGGTAGATCATCACTCTCAGGTGCAAGCATACCAGAATGCATAGGTGCAACCAACACAACAGAATTGGAAGTGGAGTCATTCAGATTAGAAGTAGATTTAGTAGAGGTAGAAGTAGTAGCCTCAGTAATAGAAACGGCATGCAAAGTAGAATCATTATGTACAGCAAAAATAGAAGGCACATGAGCAGGCCTAACAAAGGCTATATACATTTGCTCATCAACTTTGCACCTGCGCCACTTTTTGCAGAATTGCATTGCATTGAGAAAGGTTACTTGGGACTCGCGCGGCTCATCCAAGAGGACTGAACGCTCGATTCCCATGGCATCTTTGACCATGAATTGTGAGTCCTTCCACGTGGTTCTTTCACATTGGGCCTGCAACCAGCCCAGGCCAATAACCGCGTCGAAGGGGCACTGATCAAGGACATAGAATTTCAACTCATGCGTGATCGTGCGGTCAGCGTCAAAGGTAGTGCGCACACCTTTGACTGCATGCGTAGATGTGACAACCTCTTGGTTGCCCCATTGGGTCCGGCAAGGATTCTGCAAGGTCACTTGCTTCATCCCCAAGCGTGCCTTACGAATGTCGTGCGGTGAGAAGTAGTTGGCGATTGCACCACAATCAGCCAACCCACGGATGTAACGACCATTAATGTAGTGTTTGAAGAAGATTAACTTCTTCTCCCTTGCGCGCGTTCTTGCTTCATATGAGCCCAGCGCGTCAACAGAGCATGGAAGTCAATTTCTTCCGACTCTACCCAAGGCTCCTTGTATAGGATGTGTATTTTCTCAGCCTTGGAATCAGCATCAGGTGGGGTTTCAGGAGAGGTTTGCTGAGTGGGATTAGAATGCAGAGAAGGATCTGCACTTACATGTTCATCCTCTCCATCTGTAGAGTGTGCTGATGATGTCTCTACCCCCGTTGCTGGTTTCCCTGCTGCAATCTGAAACATTGTTGGACTGAATGTCCCGGTTTGGTGCAATGCAGGCAAACCCCTTTCTTCACCTGGTGTTTTCACTCACTTTCACTAATCCGGAGATCTACCCATGGTTTGGTGGCAAGATCTTCCAGTTTGGGTGGAATTTTCGCTCCCTTGGGAAGAAGAATAGTGTTAGTATTGTTCTTCATTGTGGTCCTCGGTCCCTTACTTTTAAAGGCAGCTTTTTTAAAGGCATTCATAGATTCATCGTCGTTCACATACTCAGACTCATGGGCTGACAAAGAGCAAGATGCCACGCAGTCTTTCTCTTGATCGTCATCAAGAGAAGATTCCTCCACGAGGGTCTCCTCGTCAGCCTCAAGCAGATCGTGTGCTGCAAAACGGCTACTGCCTGGAAACCGTTTGCGGTCGGTGGTCTTTTTGCCACTTGATCCACCCGGGAGGTTTTGTGCCTCCAGCTTGACTAAGTCCCGCATGAGGGTAAGCCAATCTGTATATGCGCTGAGTCCGAGCCCTAGGCGATCTTTTATAGTAGAGGGGACCGTACCTTTTATCACATCCAAACAAGACTGCGCAGTCATCTCTAGATCTGGAGTAGCAAAGAGTTTATTATTGTTGCAGGCTGTGCATGGTGCCGGTCCACTTGCTGTGCTTGAGCTTGTCAAGCTTGAGTCTAGCCTTGGCTGCAGCATGTGGATCAGCATACTGTTTGATCAAGAGCTCTTCGAGTGTGGCTACCGGCGTAGCCTTCAGCCATTTGTTCAGATCTATCCTTTTATAGCCTGCTTATACAGCTTGGATTTCCAAGAATCCTCTCACGGCGGGTTCCACATTGGTCCCTAGGACCGACGACTGAGTAACAGGGAGTGTCCCTAGCACATCGAAGTAGGATCGCATGGAGCTGATCCAAAATTCGATGTCGTCCTTTCCGTCATACTTAGACGGAATATGGGCCGCCTTTCTATCCATATAGGAAAAGTTGCAGCTTGGACCAGCGGCTGCTGGGTCCGAACTCGGGACTGCAACAGTTCCAGAATGCCCTGCACTGCTACTTGCCGCTGCAGCAGCAGCAGCAGCAGCAGCGGGGTCTGGACCTGCTGCGGATTCGGATAGGCTGTTTGTCACACTCAAAGAAGAAGAAGAAGTAGAAGAAGACACATTCCGAGGGGCAAGAACGGACTGACACGCAGCACTAGAAGCAGGGTAAGCAGGCAGAAGGATATTTTGGGCTGGCTGCACATTAGCGAACTGTTGCAGCTGGTCACGGTGCTGCTGCGCCATCAAGGCCATGTCGTCTCGCAACTTTTTGAGTTCGTCGAATACTTTGGCGAGTTGGCCAGTATGGTGTTCAACAGCCCGGACGTATACCAAAGCCCGGAGGAGTGGAACCGTTTTCTCTCCCACCTCCTCATCGGTTAGGGCAGGCAAGGTACAGAAAATGGCTTCATGAGCCTTTACCTTCTCCTCCCTCTCCTTCTTTTTCTCTTCCTCCTCCCACTTCAATGTTTTCTCATAGAAGAATCGGTACTGCGCTCTGTCTGCCTCAGGGGCAGCGCCCATTTGCAGCTTCCAATCTGCTGCAGATGCCATGATGGAGGATGAAGGAATCAATAAGTCTCTCAAGAGAGGTCGGTACTTCCTTACTTTTTTGGGACGAACACTCCTCTTCCCTCTCCTCACTCCCTCAAGAGCAACACTCAGAAGCTTCTCTCTTCTCTCTCTCTCTCTCTCGTTTGCGATCGTGTAGACGCAAGCATTTAATGAACCCAATGAAAGAAACAGCTTGAATAAGTCAGAAGGGAAGGTAGAACTCCTAGCCGGAGCGGCAATTCATTTGGACTGGAGAGCAGTCAATCAAAAAAAAGAAGATCAGAGAGATTTGATCCAGCCACACAGTCTGGACCGACTATGTATGGGGTCCTCCCAAGCCTAGCCGGACTCAGCTTCGTGAAGACACAACAAATCAGATTCAAAGTGTACAGCGTAATGCAAGAGAGAATTGAGTGGTGCCCAAGGTGCGAGTCAGGCGGCGGATCGTGCGGTAAAGTCTGATAAAACGTCCCAGCGGAGATCCCCTCCGCAGCGAGTGTCCTGGTCCGAAAGCATAAAGTCCGAGTCCCAATCAGATAGAGCAAGGTAACTGACATCAACAGATTTGGCCCGAGGGGCCTTTCTTGTTTGGGCCCAGTCCCACTGAGTCCCAAACGGTCCCAGTGAAGTTTGAACCGGGTCCCAACCAACAAGAGTTCCACAAAGACCTACTCTGTCCCTACCAAATTGAAAAACGAAATTTTGCCCCAGAAAGAACCTGTAGACTAC